CATTTGTCATGTTGACCTCTCGACCTAGGTACACATAGCTGTTGCATTCGGAGATGGTCGTTCCATTGAGAGCGAATGGGGTGTCAGGAACGAGGCTGTTTCTCATAAACATTGTCTTCGTAAGATTCAGCTGTAGTCCTACCTTTCCACACTCACGGTCAAAGTCAGCCAGCATTTGTGCCGCTTGGCTGATGTTTGGTGTTATTAAAACAATGTCATCAGAAAAGCGGAGGTGGTGTAGTTGCCGACCATCTATCTTCACTCCCATTCCTTCCCATTCCAGTCTTCGCATGATGTTCTCGAGGGTGGCACTGAAGAGTTTCGGTGAAATGGTATCACCCTGCCGCACCCCTCTCTTGACATCAATGATCACTTCTTTGTAGAATGGTGAGATCCTGGTAGTGAATCTGCAATACAGCTCAACGAGGATCCTGATGTATTGGGCTTGAATGCCCTGATTGGCTAGGGCTTCAATGACCACTTCCGTCTCAACAGAATCAAAGGCTTTCTTTGAATCAATGAACGTTAAACAGAGCGGCATCTTGAACTCCTGAGAAACCTCAATGAGCTTGGTTATTGTGTGGATATGGTCGATGGTGCTGAATCCTTTGCGGAACCCGGCTTGCTCGCATGGTTGTCCTTCATCTAGTGTTCTGCCAATCCTATTTAGGATGATTCGAGTGAACAACATCTCACCATGCCATTTTCGACACTGGAGAAGAATTGTTCCTCGGAACATGTGATAGAAGAGGTGTTGGAGGCGTCGGTGTCCTTGTCAACACAAACTTGGCCAAGAGCATTGATTCATTCGAATGCCTAACAACCGGAGTCAGACGTTTACATTTGAATAGATGTGGCTCACTGCTGGCAGTTTCTATCTTCGTTGTCTACGCACCAACATCTCATAATGATGAAAAAGAAATCGAGAAGTTCTACATGGACCTGGAGAAGTTCTATAAAGAAGACCACACCTTCTACAAGATCATTGTGGGTGATTTTAATGCCAAGATAGGACCGAGAAGATCAGCTGAAGAACTTCACATCGGGACCCATGGCCTAGAATGGAACGAACAGGGTGAGAGACTGTCTGAGTTCATCATGTCGACCAAGACCATTTATGGTAACTCACAGTTCCAGAAGGCAGAATCTAAACGATGGACATGGGAGTCTCCCAGTGGACGATTCCACAACGAAATAGACCACATCATATTCAATCGACGGTTTTGCCTGACTGATGTCGCTGTTGTCCCAAAATTTCAAACGGGATCGGACCACCGTCTCCTTCGTGCAAAATTCTACTTCACAGAGCGGGGAGAAATGGCTGCAAAGTTCAAAAAGAGAACTCCCAGAATGACCACCAACTGGGAACTCTTTGGTACTATTGCTGCAACATGGGAAGATGCCATTGTTGACAACATTGATGAGTAATACCATCAACTGGTTCAGCACTTCCATGAATGTGCGAGGAACGCCAAGAGAGAGATAGCCACAAAAAATCGCTTATCTTCGAAAACTCTTGAGCTAATTTGCCAGCGTGGTTTGGCGCATGCCTCAGGCAACCGCAAGCTAATGTCCGAGCTCGCAAAGCAGTGCAGAGATGCGATCAAGGAAGACCTCAAAGAGAGAAGAACAGAAGTACTCGTAGATGCGGCAGAAGCCGGGAAAAGTATTCGTAATGCCCGCCTGTCCTTCACCAACTATAGGACCAAGATGACTGCCCTCCGACCTCCTGATGGATCCATCCTATCCTCCAGAACGGCAATGGAGAAGATTATCCATGACTTCTACTCAAATCTCTTCGATAGCCATGTCCACTTGCCGACATACCAAATTCCACAGGATGGATATGTCGTTCCCAACGTTCTCCCTTCTGAAATCCGACACGCCATTTCGTCGGTAAAGAAACAAACAGCACCTGGCCCAGACAAGGTCAGACCTGAATACCTGAAGAACCTGCCGTCAGTACTCATCAATACACTGGCTCGGCTCTTCACTCGATACCTGTCTGAATGCAAGGTTCCGTCCCAATGGAAAACCAGCAGGACCGTACTACTGTTCAAGAAGGGAGACATCCATGACATTGGCAACTATTGCCCAATCTTCCTATTGTCTGTCATCTACAAGACATGATATAGTATCTAGAAATGCTAGTTATAAATTACAAAATTATAATAATAAGAGAAAAATAAAGTTTATATAACAAATCTGTTCTAATGAAAAACTTACAGTAGGAACAAAGTTAAAATAGTAGAAATGATATTAAAATTTAGACAAAAAATTGTCTAAAAATAAAAATATGAGTTGAAAACATTTTTTAAATACAATATTTGTATTGTACTTTTTTGCAATACAATACAGGTATTAAGTTAGAGTAAAAGTGGTGGAAGCATGGGCCCCAGGTAATTTAGTTAAATACAAGTGGTCATTTCATATCTCACCTATAGGAGTCACAGCCAATCAATGGGAATGGCTAATGAGCAGAGAATTTAATATTTAAAGGGGACACACGGGTCAGGTAACTTCCTCTTTGACCCTTCACATGTACAGGGCAGATGACAGGAAAACCAGCAATACTCACCCACATGCACAGAACTTTTATAAGTCAAAGGGAGAAAGACTAGCAAGGCGACAGGTCTTGAGAGAGAAGCTGAGGGACCCTAGTGACAAGCCACAGAGCAACAAATCTTATATCAGGAAAACAGAATGGGACTTGACAAATTATGTCCTACAGTGGAAAGGACAGAAAATGAACAAGGAAAAGTCACATCATTCACTGGAAAGAAAAGAAAAGAAAAAGTGAGGCGACAGCATTTGTGACCTCGGACTTGGGAAGCAAAGCGATAGCCTGAACATCAGGATATTCGGAACTATACCAGTTTACCTAGATAGAAAAGAAACTCACTATCTGGTGTAAAATCTTATCATGCCGAAGGTTGTGTGTTCACGGGCTCACTGGATGGCACTGTCTCACCGCCTGCGTTCAGTGATCTTGAGCCGCTGTGTGTGGCCTGGATTGGAATGGCTGTTGGTCAAGGGCAGACAGAAGAAGAAACGAGGGCCAGGCCAGTCTATATCAATAGTAGTTTATTCCAATCCTCTTCACTCCTGTCTTTCTCTGCCTCCTTCTCTCCTGGGCCCCAGTCTTGAAAGCTCTCTCCTTCTGGCTCTGACTCTGGATCTCTGGAGCCCAAGCTCTCTCGCTTCTGACTCCCTTTCCCAGGTTACGTCTTAGTTTATATAGCAGTCACATAAGGCGGTGACATAAAGGTGGGTTGAATACTGACAAATCAACAAAGAGAGGTAAGACCACTCCTCCAGGAGATTAACTCAAGGACAAAATCTCATCTACAGATATTACTTCAGATTACTAGGAGATCCGCCCAAGGGTGGATCCCAACAAGGGTGTGTTCTTCCCTCAGTTAGTAATCTACTTAAATAGTTGTAATAAATCTACTTCTAATATTTCTAGCAATGTCATTCTGTATGAGCACAGTAAGAGATATAAATTTAATTTGGTTCTTCCTGAGAACATCTCACTATGCATTTCGCAGTCCTCAGGCCAGGTTAATCTTCCTAGCTCCAGCAGGGTCCTAGTCTCGTCGTTACTTACTTTTGGATCATGACAGCATTTGTCCATGATCATGCCCTCAACTTATAGTTGAGTATCGTGACTCTTTGGCCTGGCCCATTTCGATGCCAGGGTAGCTCACTGCTTGCCCTGGGTCTATTCAGTCCCTCGTCGGGACTCTGCTTTTAGGGTGCTAGGAACTAAGGGCAACTGAGTCAAGAAATCAGATGCCCAGGAGTAATATTATTTGGAGTCAATCAACTCCCAAGTTACAAAGCATAATATTAACTGTCTTCCTGTGTCCACACAGAAAGGACATTGCTTACAATACAAGTTCAGTGTTCTTAGATGGGTGTGACCTGACAAACCTAAGCTACCTGAGGAAGGACAAAAGAGTGTTATCCTACAATCAGGGACATTTGAAATTTTGTAAGCTAATTTTACATCTAATTCAAGGATGTGTACTCAAGGAGTCAAGTCCAAATCTGTGGAAATATAAAACAAATAAAATCTGTCAGTAGAGTGCACAATGGAACTTTTGCTGATTTATTTTATCTTATGAAATTACATACTAGTCCATGTTTGTTGTATTTTTTTCTTTCTTTTTCAATTTTGGCCCAGCAATGCTTTACCTAGTAGTGCTCTGTGGCCACCAAGGAAGATAGTGCTATAGGATGGCATTCAGGGCTCACATACAGAACCTGTGCTCTACACTTGAGCTCTCTTCTCCTCCCCTGTTCTGTCCAATAGTGATGTTCAGAAATTTTCTGTACAGCTAAAGTAGATTATGTACATTCAATGCATGTTCTGCAATGTGCAAACTTTCTGTTTTCCCTTATAAATATCCATCTTTTACTTAGGGGGCTGGAGCGATAGCACAGCGGTAGGGCATTTGCCTTGCACGCAGCCAACATGGCCAACCCGTGTTCGATTCCTCCGCCCCTCTCGGAGAGCCTGGCAAGCTACCGAGACTATCTCGCCCGCACGGCAGAGCCTGGCAAGCTCTCCGTGACTTATTCGATATGCCAGACACAGTAACAACAAAGTCTCCAATGGAGACGTTACTGGGCCCGCTCGAGCAAATCGATGATCAACGGGAGGGCCTTTACTTTACCTTTACTTACTTTAACTTCTTAGAAATTGCAAACATATATTATATTATTTTTACTACTCAGCTTAGAGCCAGACCAGTCCCCCCTCTTTTTTTTTTAATAATTAATGTACAACCTGTGTTGGAGAGACTAATGTCCCATTGAATGTGTAATTTTCTTGACAATAAAGACTTTTTTTCATTTTCCTCCCTCCTACCATGCACTTCCCAAAGACTTTTTTGCATTTAACTATTCCTGAGATTTTCCTGACAGTATTAAAATTATTTTTGTTGTAAAATATACTTTTATAACAAGTATATTAAGCAGAATCATTTTCATATTTAAACATAGTGAAATATATTTATCTTCTTGGCCTCTCCGTGCACCAGCAGCACGCTCTCGGGCTCGGCCTGGCCCACTAGCTGCATGATACCCTTGGCATCGGCATGGGCGCTGAAGGACATGTATTCCACCTGCATCTTCACCTCTAGCTGCCGGCCCTCCATGTCCAGCTTGCGTGTGCCACTGAGGATCTTGTGGCCCACGGTGCCCTGCATGCAGTAGCCGGGCATGATGACCATGTTCTTTTCGTTCCCTGCCCACTTGCGGAAGATCTGGAGGGACTGGCCCGCATGCAGCATCCCTGGGGTGGCAAACACGACCATGGGTCCCGGGTTGTCGGCGAACGCCCGGTCAAAGGCCTTGATGTGCTTGAACTCAAACATGTTCCTCTGCACAAAGGTCTTGCGGATCTTCTGGTTGGTCCAGGTGATGAAGAGCTTGTAGTAGTGGTTGGCCTTCTCGGTGAGGCCCGTGGAGAAGTAGAGGGGGGCCCGCAGGTTCATGCGCTCCCAGAATGTCTCCAGAAGGATGCAGAGCTCCTGGGCCCCGCCCAGCGGGAACACAGGGATCAACACCTTGCCGCCTCGCTCCACGGTCTCGTGCACCTTCTTCAGGAAGTCGCTCTCCTGGCAGCGCTTCGAATCACGAATGGTGGTGGTGTAGGTAGACTCTGTGATGAGCAGGTTGGGACGGCATTTGTCGATCCAGGCAGCTCCCAGATGCCGGTCTGGAGTCATGTTGTAGTCACCCGTGTAGACCACCGACTCCGAGCCCACTTTGATCTGGAACATGGCAGCTCCCAACACGTGGCCCGCATAGTAGGCCTTGATCTCCAGCTCCTCGTCCACCTGGACGGTCTGGTGCAGGTGGATGGCCACCACCTTCTTCATGCAGTCCTTGATCATCTGCGAGGTGAAGAAGTTGGCCTCACCCTTCTTGTCCACGGCGATCTTGCGGTAGTCCTCCAGCAGGATGGGGCAGATGGCCTGGGTGGGGTGTGTCATGTAGATGGGCCCGTCGTAGCCCACCATCTCGCTGAAGTAGGGCAGCGCCCCACAGTGGTCCAGGTGGAAGTGGCTGATGATCACGCAGTCCAAGAAATCGGTGAGGCGGCCGTTGCGGGTGATGTAGGAAAAGTCGGGGAAGCAGAGGTCATCGTTGTAGCCCATGTGCATCCCGCAGTCCAGCATGACGTTCTTGCCGGCGATGGACACCAGAATGCAACTGTGGCCCACATCCTGGCCGGCCCCCAACGGCGTCACCCTGATCTCGGGCATCCTGCCTGCACCCGCCGCCCGCCCACACAACGGCCAGGATCCAGAGATCATCACACTCAGCTCCTGGGAGAGAACAAGACAGAGTCTCCTACCCTATGCCTGACTGTCTCCACCAGGGCCCAACAGCTGAAGACCACCGAGGCCCAGCCAAGGCCTTGCTGGGAGCACTCTCCACACACTTGGATGAGCCTCACGCATAAAAGAACTGACAGAGGAACCCAGGTGTGTGGGACCCGGGGCTGAGATCTCCAAGCCTGTACAGTTTGGGACTGGACCTGCCAGTAACTAGACAGTTACACCCACCAAACTGCCGTGTAACTCCAACAACGGCCAGGATCCAGAGATCATCACACTCAGCTCCTGGGAGAGAACAAGACAGAGTCTCCTACCCTATGCCTGACTGTCTCCACCAGGGCCCAACAGCTGAAGACCACCGAGGCCCAGCCAAGGCCTTGCTGGGAGCACTCTCCACACACTTGGATGAGCCTCACGCATAAAAGAACTGACAGAGGAACCCAGGTGTGTGGGACCCGGGGCTGAGATCTCCAAGCCTGTACAGTTTGGGACTGGACCTGCCAGTAACTAGACAGTTACACCCACCAACTGCCGTGTAACTCCAACAACGGCCAGGATCCAGAGATCATCACACTCAGCTCCTGGAAGCGATAAGACATCTTATCATCTCATTCCTAATTCGGTCAAACTGGCAGGCTACCAAATGTAACATGCCCACACGGCAGAGTCTGGCAAACTCCCCGTGGTATACCCAATATGCCAAATACCAGTAACAATGATGGGTCTCATTCTCCTAACCCTGAAAAAGCCTTGAATATGGCACTTTAAAAAAAAAAATCTCAGGGCTAGGACGAAGAAGACGTTACTGGCACCTGCTCGAGGCAATCGACGAACAACAGGGTGGTCGTGATCGTGATCGTGATCGTGAAATATATTTATAATATGTCTTTAGGAAAACTATCATCACACATATACATATCTCCTGATTGGTTCTATTTTCCAGCTGCAATAAATTCTGTGGCTTAAAAACTGTACATAGCAACAACCATGCTATGACTTTCAATGCTTAATTATAAATTGTTATATTTATACATCAATTCTTTTGATTTAATGAGTATTTACTAGGTGCCAATAACTATGCAAGATATGAGAGGGACTCAAATATAGATAACATAACCTTAGATGTCAAGAATTTTACCATTAACTAATTTTAGTATGTAAAAACTAAAAAGTACTAGAAAAATAACATTTTACAATTATTTATACTAATATATATGCTAATAAGTAAGTAACATTAATATGGAATTAATATGCTACTTCTTTCTGAACAGCATTTTTATATTATTTCTACCACTTTTTTTCTCTCAGGAATAACACATGCCAATGTTATCATCAAAATTCATCTATCAAGCAAGCTTAATGTTATTTTGGCTAAGGAGAAACCACATATGCTTCACCTTTTATTGATTAAGTGCTAGGAGTGGAAATGCTGGTAAAATGTACATAATAAAAGTGATAAATAATACATACTAACTAGTGAAAAAAAGACCTCAGGTTTCCATGTGATTTACATATTATATTATGGTGACATGTATTTTATGAATATACTAGCATACAGATGATGGTATTACCATAGAAATTTATAAACTCAGAAAGCAAAGAATTAAAATAACAAAAAGAAAAAATATTAAATACAGCATAATGCCAAACCCCACTTGTTTTGGAAAAATGCCAGAGAACTGCTCTAGTGTTTCTGAGCAGTAACAGGTGAAACAGCTTAATGAGTGATGCTTTCAGTACCAGCTTTATCCACAGAGGTCACTGAGACTTATTGATGTTCCAGGAGCATCAAAGGATTGAGGGGGCAGAATTATAGCACCAGCAGTGAAAGACTTAATCTGATTACAAAATCTACGTGTCACTCCCCAGATTACCTATCAAATTGTAGTTATGATAATCTTACTAAAACTCATGAATTTATTTAATTGCATATAAAATTATAAAGTACACAAAAACCACAATTAATTTTGAAAGACATAAATGGGGACCTGTTCAATTATCATTTTGCTTCCCTGAGCAATGTCTTCACAAAAGTCAGATGATCCCTAAAAGCTTGTTCATGTCATGAATTGTTTAGTCAGGAGTGCCCTAGACAGTTTATAGGAAATTATGGAGGACTATGTATCCACAAATGAGTGATGGAATCTACTTTTACACAAAGCTTAGCAGGCCTGTACTTTCTGTTTTCTTTAAATTTTCCCTGTATTCATAAATTTGATTCATTGTGAACTATATAGGTTAACCATACATGTGTTAGTTATTGATTAAAAGCAATAAAAAGTAAGTTAGGATTTTAGTAGCATTTATGGTACAAACATAACTGTTTCTTAGCATTGCAGATTCACCATTTTTATTAAAACAGAATGCTGTAGTTGATCAATTAAAAAACACCATAGCTTTAATAAAATTTCTCTCCTCATTTATATATAAATTTACTACTTATGCTTGAGACTAAGAGTTTAGGTTAATGAAAGTTCACTTGATCACTTGATATCCCATTACTTATAAATTTGCTCCAGCGGGTGCCAGTAACGACTCCATTCATCCCTGTTGCATGCTAGCATAGCCCAATGGCATCTGCTTGTTCTAGGAACATGAACAGCCTCAAACCGATCATTCAGGGTCATGACAAAGAAGTCTGACCATGCCGTAGGTGGGCGGCCATATAATCTTTTGATATCCTGTGGAATCCAGTCGGTAATGGCTGTAGTACAGCGGTCGTCTCTAAATCTCATTACTTGTCCAGCCCATCTGATTTTCGATGCCTGATTCTTGAGCGTTGACAGAGGTTGGAACTCTGGATTATTTCTTTCATTTGAGTGAAGCATAATACTCCAAGCGTAGCTCTTTCAATTCCTCTTTGAGAGACCTGAATAGCATTCTCATCCAGTTTTCGTAGGGCCGACGTCTCTTCAGCATGTGTTAATGCAGGAAGAACAGTGGAATCGAAGAGATGTGCTCAGAGCCAGAGGTTCTTCGTCCTCTTAGCTATTTCTCTGACAATCTTGAAGGCATTCCAAGCGACTCTCTTCATCCTGTGCAACTCAGGTACCAGCTCATTCGTGATGTTGATTTCTCAAACTAGGTACATATAACTGTTGCATTCAGAGATGGTCATTCCGTTGAGAGTAAATGGAACGTCAGGAACAAGACTGTTTCTCATGAACATTGTCTTTGTGAGATTCAGCTGTAATCCGACCTTTCCACACTCACAGTCAAAGTCGGTCAGCATTTGTGCCGCTTGGCTGATGTTTGGTGTTATTAGAACGATGTCATCTGCAAAACTGAGGTGGTGTAGTTGCCGACCATCTATCTTCACTCACATTCCTTCCCATTCCAGTCGTCGTATGACATTCTCGAGAGCGGCACTGAAGAGTTTTGGTGAAATGGTATTACCTTCCAAACCCCTCTCTTGACATCTATGATCACTTCTTTGTAAAATGGTGAGATCCTGGTAGTGAATCCGTAATACAGCTCACGGAGGATCCTGATGTATTGAGTTTGCACGCCCTGATTGACTAGGGCTGCAATGACTGCTTCCATCTCAACAGAATCAAAGGCCTTCTTTAAATCAATGAAAGTTAGAAAGCGCAGCATCTTGAACTCCCAAGAAACCTCAATGAGCTTGATTACCATGTCAATATGATCGATGGTGCTGAATCCTTTTTGTAACCCAGCTTGCTCACACGGTTGTCCTTCATTTAGTGTTCTGCCAATCCTATGCAGGATGACTCGAGTGAACAGCTTGTAGATGACAGACAATAGGCAGATCGGGTGATAGTTGCCAATGTCGTGGATGTCTCCCTTCTTGTATAGTAGTACAGTCCTGTTGGTTTTCCACTGGGAAGGAAACTTGCATTCAGACAGATAGCATGTGAAGTGCTGAGCCAGTGTATTGATGAGTACTGATGGTAGGTTCTTCAGGTGTTCAGGTCTGACCTTGTCTGAGCCAGGTGCTCTTTGTTTCTTTACCGACGAGATAGCATGTCAGATTTTGGAAAAGAGAAATTTGGGAACAATATATCCCTCCTGCAGAATTTGGTATGTGTGCAAGTGGACATGGCTATTAAAGAGATCTGAGTAGAAGTCATGAATAATCTTCTCCATTGCCCTTCTGGAAGATGTGATAGATCCATCAGGAAGTCAGAGGGCAGTCATCTTGGTCTTATAGTTGGTGAAGGACAGGTGGTTGTTACGAATGCTTTTCCCAGCTTCTGCTGCGTCTACCAGCACTGCTGCTCTTCTGTCTTTATGGTCTTCCTTGATTGCTTCTCTCCACTGTTTTGCAAGCTCGGACATTCGCTTGCGGTTGCCTGAGGCATGCACAAAGCCACGTCGATGAATAAGCTGAAGAGTGTTCCAAGACAGGCTTTGTTTTGTGGTTATCTCTCTCTCTTGGCATTCCTCACACAATCATGGAAGTGCTGAACCAGTCGATCACATTCCTCATCAATGTTGTCAATGACGGCATCGTCCTATGTTGCTGCAACAGAGCCAAAGAGCTCCCAGTTGTTGGTTGTTCTGGGAGTTCTCTTCTTTGCATTTCTTTCCCCCCACTCTGTGAAGTAGAATTTTGCACAAAGGAGATGGTTGTTTAATCCTGTTTGGAATTTTAGGATAACGGTGACATCAGTCAGGCAAAACTATTGATTGAATATGGATGTGGTCAGTTTCATTGTGTAACCGTCCACTGGGAGACTCCCATGTCCAACATTTAGATTCGGCCTTCTGGAACTGTGAGTTACCATGGATGGTCTTGGTTGACATGATGAACTCAGACACTCTGTCACCCTGTTCATTTCATTCTAGGCCATGGGTCCCAATGTGGAGTTCTTCGGCTGATCTTCTTGGTCTTATATTGGCATTAAAATCAATGACAATGATCTTGTAGAAGGTGTGGTCTTCTTTACAGAACTTCTCCAGCTCC